CAATTACTGAATCCAATATTTGATGCAAATTTTTTACACTATTTGACATTGATAACCATCTTGTATTAACTATATTACAGTATTAAGAATAGTTAATTGAGGATTTTCTAATATATCTTGTACCATCTTTAAGTTTTGCATACGTTGATAAGAACTTGAAAAATAAATATATAATTTTTTAATACTAGTTTCATATTGATTAAAATATGGAACATGTTTTGCTGCATCTTTTTCAGCTAAATGTAGTCTATGTGTAATACAATGAACAGATGTAATAAATGGATTAATTTCTTGAAATCGTTTAACAACACCTGTTTTTTTACCAATTAATGTAGCAGCCCCATCACTACAAAAATGTAATAAATTTTTTATTTCTAATCCTTTAGCAATAAAAAAAATTTTTAAATCTAATATAATTGCTTCTGCATTAAGTTCATCTAAATTAATAATTCCTAAATATCGTGTAACTAGTATAATATAAAACATATGCCGAGATACAATAGCTAAATGCTTTTCATTAGTAATAGAATTAGTTTCATCAATCATAATACTCCAGTTAATTGAACTTCTAATTTCTTCATATAATGCTTTTTCAATTACATATACAATTGCCTCTTCAATATCTTTAGCAGATGTTTCTGATAAATGAGATCCATATTCATTTGATTCTAATGGTAAATTTTTTAATAAATGCGATGGTAATTCTAATGCTGCAGGTGTATTACAAAGATTCATAACTTCAGAATTTTTTCAATGAAAATCTATAAATTGATATAAATCAGAATAGACTAAAAGTGCTAAATATTTTTTTGCTGCAAAATATATGCATTGCATTTGTGATATAGTTTTAAGTTTACAAGCATCGGTAGCTAATTGAAGTGAAAATTTAATTGCCATAATATTTTGATTTTTTCTGGCTTCAGCTTCAGCTTTATGTTCATGATGATTAAGGTGTCGGTCAATACTTTGTTTTCGATAATTACTTGTTCCTTTTGCAAGTTCATTGGCATAATTCTTTGATTCACACCATTTGCAAAACATAAATAGTATTCCATTTACATCTCTATACTCCAACCAAGCATCATCCCATCCACTTCGGATTAGGACTAGATCTAATTTTGTTTCGCTTTGGCTTTTCATTTGACAAAATTTCAGTAGAAGGTTCAACTTGGTTTTCGTCTTCTTTTTCAGATATATCTTTTTTAGAATTTGTTTCAACAGAAAAAAATCTCTTCATTTTTGTAAAATTAAAGCTAATTGAAATATACCAGGAACAAAGTATATGTAATGTAAATATAAAATATATAGTTATATGCAATTTAACAAATCTGCAACTACAGTAATTAGCATTAGATTTTAAATGCGAGCTTGATCTTTTACACATCTGATACTGCTTATCTATAATTTACTAATGCATTTATGCATATACATAGAAGTAAAATTATTAGAAAGTACTAACTCTTTTTAGTAATTATTTATGTTATCGTATTGATTAGATTAGTATATTTTAAATATAGCTTCTGCGATTATTAATTTATTAGATACAGTAGTTTTATTAGGCTCTGTGCTTGTCGTTAACTTGAACTACTTCTGGAACTATTTTCCCATGAATTCAAGTCAAATACTACTGCTAATTAGCCTATATTGTCTTTATGTAAGAAAAAGCTATTATAGAGAGACCCGATGATAGAGTTAATCTTCTTAAATAGTAGGTAATAGCAGGGAGACAGATAATCTCCTCCTTATAAAGAAACTTTTAAATACCCCTGCATTACAGAAAAGAAATTCTTTTTCTTTTGAATTCATATCAAGAATATATGATAGCTATCTACTATCATTTATCAATGCATATAGTAATGCAATTCCAACAATCGTTTATATCACTATGTAGAATAAGCTTGCATCTATCGAGACACAATCCAGAATATTGCCAAAAAATCTATAAAAGGCTAACTGGCAAATTGAATACACGAAGTCATCTGATAAGCTTCTAAGTAATTAATCAATAAGGTAGCTGCGAAATAATAACAGGAGAGAATGTTGATATTACACAACTGATTTTGCACATGATGTGAAATACATAAAAAAATTATTTTACAAAACTTAATTGGACTTGATCAGTCGGCTAATACATGTTATAATTATAATCCAACACATTTTTTTTATAATAAAAAATGGTGTTGGAATAAAATTATAACATGTACTAGCCGACTAATCAAGTTCGATCAAATATTGTAAAATAATTTTTTTATGTGTTTTACACAGAGTGTAAAATCAGTTGTGTAATATCAACATTCCCTCCTGCTTGAAATAACTCGATTAGATAATTTGAGTACTCTTTTTTGTGAATCCGAGCAGATTTTTGAATTGATAATTATTAAAATTTAAATGCAATGAAAGTGAAATTCTGCACTTAAACTTCACAATAACATGGCACTATATTTAGTATGAGATTTGGTTAACCATAACAAATGTTCAACTAATATTTTTTTTTTATCGCTTTAACAGGGTTTTGCCTAAAAGTGAATGAAAATCATTTGCAAAAATTTGCTGTTTTTCAGAAATGCACTAGCCAAATATGAATTTATTGTTAGATAGTTGTTAACAGCTTATCTGAACCAGTTTTAATTGCATAATATAGCTAAGTCAGCCAAAGCAAATGAGCTGCAGCTAAACTATAGCTCACCATAAGCTCGATAATACTGATATAGTACTGCAGTAGCATTGTATAGAATATGATTATGTAGCTATAGTATAATAAAATTTTAAAGCAATATAGTATTTAAAGAAGCTATACAAAAATCTTTAATAGGCTAACAAAACACTTTGCCATATAATGTCAGGTTTTCACATGACATTTCAATTAAGTATCTTCAAACTTTTTCTTATTTAATCAATTGATCTTTACTAATCAATATATTAATTAATTTCTTGTTTAAATTTTTATTTACATCTCTCAAGCATATAAATTAATAGGTCAGAATACAATTTTTAATTGGTAAAAAATAGTTTATAAGTAGATAATCGTAATAAAAAAAAGGGTTGAAAATCACCTGTTTTTAGACTTGTTCTGATTGACAAAATTTATTATCCATATTTGTGTTATAAATCTTCAGCAAAATTATAGTAAGGGTCGCTTCGATTAATTGCACTATCTCAATAGCTGGTTAATTTCATTGAAAGCATCTTTAGTCTCTAAATTTAGCGATTATTTATTGGTTTAATGCTAATTGGTCTAAGTATTTAATATGAACTGTTCACTCCTCATTTAGCTTATTATTCTGTATGATTACTATCTGCTGAGAATATTTCTAGATTAGTATAACTAGATCCGTATAGTATGGGGTGTAAAATATCCTATTTTTAATGTCTTCTTCAGTGTTAAAAAGGTATTTTATTTTATACTATATGCATATCATGAAATTTTGTTTATTATAGCAATATAGTTATGCTGTATTTAAGGAATTTTAAGTCTACAGTAGAGCTATTACCCGGTCAGGATGATACTGGTTCTGGACTGGACTTTTTAAGACTTTTAGGGACTAAGAACAGTCCGAAACTAGTTCAGATAATTATATAATATGAATTGAATGTCATTTTGACACTTCAAATGAAATTCAATAAAACTTAAATCAAGAACAGTACTTTTAATTGTCTTAATTTAAGGTTCTTTAATTGGGTTAGGTATTCTGATTAGTTGTTTCAGCTATTATTATTATTATTATTTTTGCCGTATAATACAAAATTCCAAAATCATATGCATTGTATATTAAAACTATTAGAGCTGGATCGATTTCGGACAGGAGTTATGAACTAGTTTCAAACTATTCCAGGACCAGACTTTTTAAAGACCGTACTGGAACTAGACCAGACGGACTTTTTAACATCCCTACACACTAGTTGACCCTTACAGGTCAGTATCTTTTTTCAAGTTAATGCAGAGTCAGCAGATCGAAAGGTGCTAAATAAGGGTAATATGCCCATGAAATCATTAATAAAAACGAGGCCAATTCCATCCATATAATCAAGAAAGTATTGGCATGATTTAAATCAATTTCCACATACAGCAATTACTAACTTAATAAAGACGGCTATGAGAATGATAATCAGTCCATGGGGAAATGCAATTAGGATGCCACACCAACAATCACTAATTCAGTTATTATTTTGCAAACACTCAGAAGAATTAAAAATTGTGTTTGACTAACAATTATATCTTGTTTCTTGATCGATTATATATACTAATAAAAACATGTGAAATCCGTAATCTGTGCGGCAACTGTGCGCACTGCGCGGAAACTGTGCGTGCTGTGCGGCAACTGTGCGGGTTGTGTGGCAACTGTGCAGGCTGTGTGGCAGTTGTGCGGGCTGTGTGGCAGTTGTGCGGGCTGTGTGGCAACTGTGCGTACTATTTACATATATAAAATTTATTCTGTGCGGCATGCCGCATATTTTTTAAAAAAAGGTGCGTGCAAAATTTTGAATTTGTGCGCTGTGCACAGGCCGCACAGTGAAAAACAAACACTGTGCATATCTATTTATTTGAGAACAAATTTTACTTCTTCATTTTACAGGTACATTTTCAGACCTTTGTCATTGTCTATTCTCATGCTGTGTACATCCAAGATATACAGTAGCACAACCAACTAGCTTTTTTTTACTAGTATTAAGATATACTTGCCACACCTCCTAATAGTAACCAGACCTATATTCAAATGGCAAAAGAAGTAATATTGGCAAGTTGATGAAAACTTTCTTTAATTTCTTTTATATTTTGTGAATCAAATTAAAATTCATGGTTTGAAAAAACATTTTCTATAAGCTTTGAATCTAACTCAATTTCAAAGATTAATTTTACTGGTTTATCAGAATTTTCTAAATCCTGAAATTGCTTAGTGACAAGTTCTTGTTCTTTATCTAAGGTATAATGAAGTCCATTTATATTATCATTCTCATTAATTTTTTCTAATGATTCTGAAGACAGCTCTTGAGAAATACTATCATCTAATTCAAGATCTACAAGGTCAGAAAGAGATCTGCTAGAATTAATATTTGTCTGAGCTATTGTAGTGCTAATACTTGGTATTGGCATATTTAAGCTAGCTTCAAGTTTTGTTTTTTTTCTTGTTAATAGATCTATCTTTTTGTGCATTTTTACATCTAAAATGGTAGAGGTTACAAGTTGCATGTTCATGTTGTGGATTGTTTTTATATAAATGACAAAATTCTTTTTTTTTTCTTTTACTACCACAATCTAAACATGTTTTTTCATTAGAGCTTAAATTATTGCTTATTTTTTTATTATATTTTCTTTATAATTATGTTCAAAGCTAATTTTTATTTTTTTTAATAATTCACACTTGAGGATATTTGTTGTTTATTTAAAAAATTATGCTCTTTTTATAGAAGTACAGCAGTGAAGAAATATAATCTATTAGCTTCGAAGAATTTATATAATTAGAAGTTTATCTATTCTATAAGGTTTTATATATATAATAGAAATTTTTATGTTTTATCTTTTAATTATTTAATTTTACTACTATTATATTATAAATTACATGCTTAAATTCTTATACACGGCTATAGTATAGTATTAACTTTGGTAAGTATTTCTAATACTTCAGCTTATTTTTAGTCTATTATTAATTAAAATATTTAACTTATTTTATTATATACAGATTGAGCGTATTTAATATAATTGGTTTAGATTATGTCTTTATCTAGATAAGAATAATTAGTGTTTCATCTGCTTTTTATAGTGCTAATGAATATAACTTTGATTTAATAATTTTGCAAATATATTGCAGATTCAACATGCTTAAAATTAAAGATCTAGTGAAACAAAATTAAATAGTTTCGCTACTATTAATAAAATTGATGAAATTGGCGAAAGTAATTTCATTTGTATCTCTACTTAAAATTATGAATTTGGAACTACAATATTATATGAATAGTTTTATTAGTATTTATAGTATTATTGTTATAGTTAATATGGCAAATTTAACCTTATTTAATTTTTATTACAGTCGAACCTCCATAATTGCACCCTCTATAATTGCACCCATATATAAATTCTCTCTAAATGGATGCCTTGGCCTGGTCCCAAATATATAAAAACATAGTAAAAATACCCTCTATAAATGCACACCCTCTCTAAATGAACATTTTTAAAAATTTGTCCTATGGTCCCGAGGGGGTGCAATTATAGAGGTTCGACTGTACAAGGTTCTAGATTAT